TCCTTAATAGTTGATCTGCGGATCCCTAGAAAGTATATGGATTTCACTACAAGTGTTTTTTCCCCTAGTTAAAACTAAAATCTTTTTGCAAGCTGCCATCTAAATCATGGATCTAGGGAAAATTCAGATAGCCAGATCCTGCTCCCATTGACATAAATAGGGAATTCTGCCACTGATTTCAGTGGGAGCAGAATATGGTCCAGTGCATGTAAGTAACTATTGAAATAAAACAGGAATAACTTTGGAGTATGACACATGCAGCAGATTCACATGGCTGTGTGGTAGACAGTGTGTAGAATGTCCTTCCATCTTGAATGGTCCCATACACGTTGTTTTCCTTTCCCAAGAGTCAGCGTGGGATGACTTAGGCTTCTTAAATCCCTCCAAATTTTATCTTCCAGCTTCATTCTGCTCCCTTTTTATCCCCAGTGGAAAGGATTCTTGGTAGAATTGTTACAACAACCCTGTCATGTTCTGCTAATAGAACGTCCAGAACAAGTGCTGGCAGAGAAGCATCTGTGCTTTATCAGTTGAAGGTGTTTAGCTTTCTAGTGTACTGTGATGGGATATGTCCCCGTCCCATTAACAGCAAGCCTAATGAGCATCCCTGAACTCAGGCAGTGCCAGTTAGGTGCATCTACAGAGCATCCATTGACTGGAAAAGGGACACTTAAAAAGGAGAAGCTGGCCATGGAGCAAGGTGGGAAAACTGCCCAATTAGAGAAGTTACTAGAGAAGCTTGATTATAACCAGGGAACCCAAGTGCAAGACAATGATTAGCCTTCCCTTCCGTCTCCACCACCGTTGGTTTAGGCCAGTGGTCTCCAACCATTTTAACCACAAGATGATTTTTTCAAGTGCAATGTAAGATCTACCTCAAACCCAAATACCTTTGCCCCACTTTCTTCATGTCCCTTCTTTGAGGCCCCACCCCTACTCCACCGCTTCTCCAAGGCCTCACCCTGCTCACTCCATCCCTATTCCTCCCCCATCCTCACTCACTTTCACCAGGCTGGGGTAGGGGGTTGGAATGCAGGCTCTGGTTTTGGGCCAAAGGTTTTGGATTGTGGGAGGAGCTCCGGGCTTAGCCCAGGGTGGAGGATTGTGCGCCAGCTGGGGTTTCAGGTTGCAAGCTCTGGGAAGGAGTTTGGATGCAGGGGGATTCACATCTGGGGCAGGAGGTTGGGTGTAGAAAGAAGTTCAGGGCTAAGACAGGGGTTCAGGATGCAGGATCTGTCTGGGCACCATATAACTGAGATGGCTTCTGGGTGGTAGAGCAGTGGGGTTAAGGCAGGCTTATTCCTGCCCTGGCACTGCACCACTCCTGAAAGCAGCTGGCATGTACAGCAGTGGCTTCATGGTGCCATGTGCAGCCCCTCATCTACAGGCACTGAGCCCACAGTTTCTATTGGCCACGGTTCCCAATTACTGATCAATGGGAGCTGCAGGAGTGGTGTCTGCAGGCAAAGACAGCATGTGCAGACCCCCTGCTCTGCCTTCCTCAGAGGCTGCAGGGACATGCCAGCCACCTCCAGGAGCAGCGTTACCACAGGGATAATAACTCCAATCATGACAGGTTAGGCATTTTAGAACTCACTGTTCAAAGACTTAAATTTAAGCATAAGAGAGAAATGAAAATGATGAAATGCACAGACCAGTCAAAAAACAAAAATAACCCACTTTGCAAGCAGTAAAAGAAGCAAAACCAACAGCCGCCCCACATAGGCGTTGGGTCGGGAGATGAGAGTGAAGGACAGTGTGTGTTTGTGAGAATGACAGAGACACACAGTGTGTGAGATTTACAGAGATTTGCATTGCCAAGCTCCCTCCATCCCCTTCTCTCTGTGTAGAGATAGGGTATCGAAGTGGGGCAGGGGGAACACCCTGACACAAGTGCTCCCCCTCTTCTTCCTCCCACACCCTGCACAGGAAGCAGGAGGCTGCCGGACGTCTGCTCCAAGTCAGAGGACAGGAGCAGCATGACAGTGGGTGGCGGGTTAACTGAAATGCCAGCACTTGATAGTTTCCCGGCCAAACCAGTCAGGATCAACTGTCAGAGGCTCCAAGATCTACTGGTAGATCCTGATCTACTGGTTAGAGACCACAGGTGTAGGCAGACACTATAGCCCTTTGCTCATTCTGAGTAGTACCTTAAGCCATGAGGTGTCTCATTGGCATTTATGGGCCATGATGCAGGGTTCTCCTCAGCATTCGCAAGGGGATCACAATCTGGCCCTAACACTTTTGACACTGTATTGAATTTTCAAACTCTCACTATCAGATTTGTTGTGGTTATTGTCCTCTGTCCCCCAAATCTTTCTTAATGCTTCTAATCTTTCTCTTTCATTTGTATTATTAGACACAAGGCCAACTTCAGGGAACATATTGCATTCTGCACTGATAGCCATTGCAGTCATGTGCTTCATTCATACTTGTGAACTTTAATTAAAATTCTTACTATTGATATTTTTTCTTTTAAAAGCTAAATAAAAAAGAAGACTTAGTAAAAAGACAACGGGGAATAGGAAGTGGCAAACTACACTAGAGTGACGAATATTCCTTCTTTGAATACAAAATTGATTTTAAACTAAGAATATTTTGAGGATCCCTAGATAAACTAGTGTGGAGCTTCTAGAATAGTATCTTGTAAAATACATTGACTAGCCATGAGATGTTTACATCAAAACAAATTGCCTGAGAGTTACCTAGTGAAATGTGTATGCATATGTACCAGGGAGAAATAATGCTATTAAATAAAGGTTGGCACCTTCATTTTTCTTTTTGTGGATCCAATTTTTAGAGCTGAAATAAATTACTGCAGGGAACTGAAGCTGGATCAAAGCTCTATTAGTTCAGCCTAAATCCAAAAATCTTACCAAAAGGGGTGAGGGAAGGAACTATTCTGAAGTGACTGAATGTAGAAAATGCTCAAAAAAATGTAACTCTCCCCTAAAATATGAATCAGGTCAACACTTTTAGTCATATTTATAAACGCCTTAGTCATGCTTATAGCTGAGTGCTCTGGTCTCAGTCCAGCACAGAATTTAAGCACATGCTTCACTGTAGACATGTGAATAGTTCATTGGACACAGTGGCACTACTCACATGCCCAAAGATAAGACGTGGTTAAATACTTTGCAGGTTCAGAACCAGAGTGCTCGGCATCTTGCAGGATACGGGCATACGGACCCTATTCAGCAAGTCTTTTTCATGATTACTGTGCACTGGGGTTACTTGCAGGGTAACATGCTACCCACATGAATAAGTATGTCAGTACTAGGCACTAAGAAAACAATAAAGACTAAGGGCAAAGTCCTGGCCACATATAAGTCAATAGGAATTTTGCCATTGACTTCAGTGGGACCAGATTTCAACCTGGATGCTATGCTTAGCTGCCTCCTGTTCAGCTGTGCAGAACGCACACAGAGCGCCGTGCATACTCTTCAGCTGCTCCTCCTCTTAGCGAGTAGTTGGGGAGGGGGCAGAATCAGTTTCACTATCACAGGCAGAGATCCGGGAGATCAACTGTGACCTTTTGAGGGCAGCAGTAACTTAATTTCTCCTTGTACCTCATACTCTTTCAGCATACAGTATGAAGGGGCTGCTGCAGTTCATGCACCATTTCCTGCTCAAGCTGAGCCTAAAGCAGTGGTGGGCAAATTCCGGCTCATGGGCCAGTTCCAATCTGCCAGGCTTAGCCCCTGGCCGGCCCCCACCACCACTATATTTACTTGTGCCTCCGCAGGTACAGGAGATCATAGCTCCCATTGGCTGGGAACGGTGGTCCACAGCCAATGAGAGCTGCGATCGCCTGTACCTGCCGGTAAATATAGCGGCAACAGCTCACCAGGGGCTAACCCTGGGGAAATGCCGCAGTTTTATTGCCCACGCATGGCCTAAAAGTACAGACTAGCCTTAGAGATGGAAACTCAAGGCAGGTGCTGATGGATTAATAACCAGCTTGGAGAAATAATTGGACTGATTGTAAAGGCCCCAGGAAAATGTCCTGAGGCTCAGTTATTGTTATGATACAAGATGAAACAGGCATGGACTGAAACCATTCACACTCAGTTAAATCCAGAGTTACTCCACAGACATGAAGGTCTGGTGGTAGTTAAGATCAGTATCTGGCACTTGCAGTTTTTTTTTTTTTTTTTTTTTTTTTTTTTTGTTACTGGTCCAGTTCTAAGAGGTATACATTGCTGAGGGGACATTTCTGAAGTGTCAGCATTTATTTCTATTTATAATGAAATACAGTTATAAAAAGCAGCAGCCAGGGAGGGACAGGTTCTAGGTTTGATTTTGATGTTGATGTATTACTCATTGCAATATTTCATACTGCTGATTGATAATGTAGCGCATAAATAAGGCATTTGGTTGTGGTAACCATCATTCACCTACTTAGGGTGCACATTAGAAGTCAAAGATTAATTAGTTAGTATTTTCATAGATGTTTGAAAATGTAAATTGTTTTTTAAATTAATAGAGGCTATGTCCATGAATGGCTATTAGCCTGTATGGGCAGGGGTGGAGTCCCTAGCCTCTGTTTGCCAGAAGCTGGGGATGGGCAACGGGATGGATCACTCCGTGATTACCTATTCCATTTGTTCCTTCAACACACCTAGCACTGGCCAGGGTGGAAAGACAGGATGCTGGGCTAGATGGACGTTTGGCCTGACCCAGTATGGCTGTTCTTACGTAGAAAGATATATATGCAAAGGCCCAGTCCTGATTTCCCTTACTCATGGAAAGAATTCTTCTGTGGGTTGAACCATTGAAATCAGTGGGCCAGTTCACATAAGTAAAGGATAGCAAGATCTTGTCCAAACTCAGCGGTTCTCAGTCTGTTTCTAGCTAGACAACATTTTCCACACTGGGGGCCCTCCTTCCCATTTAGCGATATGCAAGACAAAGTGGTCACGACTTCCAAGCTGGGAACCCCTATCCTGGTGCTACATATGATTACAACTTTAAACACCTTTTCTCTTCCCTTACTGTAGGTTGCTCCTGTAATTAAAGAGAGAATGATGAAGAAGGGCAGCATGATGTTAGGGTACCAACCCCACCGTGGCAAAGTCAACTTCTTTCGCCAGGTAGTGATCAGTCCCCAGGTGAGCCGTGAAGACATGGACTTCCTGCTGGATGAGATCGACTCGCTTGGCAGAGACTTGTAGCTGTAGTTTAACAGCACCAGGCACTGCTTATATGCATGATGTTTACAGATCAAGAATGCTTGTAGCACACTGGTATTATATTTTATAACAGGTAGTTGAAAGTTCAACAAGTAGCGGTACTTAGGATTTTGCTGGTAGAGTTCCTCTGGACTTGAGCATCTGAGCATACAGTGGTCATAACTGAGCCACTGCTTACAGCAGCTGAATAAGGGGCACCATCATTCCCATTCTGAGAAGAGTAACCTTCTGGTGATGCTTCTGATAATGACCTTCTGTAGGCTAATCGGGCAAGTATCTGGTACGTACCGGTGGAGAGAGTGGGCCAGATTGGCCACTGACATAAGCAGGTATGACATCATTAACTTCAGTGCAGTCATGCCTGCTTATGTCAGCCATGAATTTAGCTCAGTGAGTATTAAAATCAAAGCACATCTCTAATCCGTTAATATATTAGCCTGGCATGCGTTTAAGGGTAAAGGCCCATCAGGTGATTTGAACTAGTTATGCCTGATGTTAGGGGTCCTGTAGTTCTCTCAGTGAAAACTCCTAAACCAGTAAATTGCCCAGCACAAAATGGGCCCAATCAGCATTTGCCCACCCATAAACTTACCATGATTTTAGCAGAGCTGAGAATGTTGGAATGGAGATACCATTTAAAAACTTTTTGTCAACAGGAAATATGTACAATATCTGAACTACTGTTCATATTTCCTTTCTTTTTGAAGGATAAACATTTCTTTAGCAACTTTAGATGTGCATAAAAATGTTAACCAAAGCATTAGAAAAGTATATTTATCTCAAAGGGGTGTATTTTTATGCAGGATAGCTACTTATTAAGAATTGACATAAGAAAGCATTGTATTTATTATGGTCTCTTAAGACTTTCCGACAGATTTAAAAAACGCTAGCGCCTGTGTGATTAATGTGTAATTCTTTTTTGGCATTAAACTTAAGCTGCTGAGTAAGTTAAAATTTGTTTGTGATTTTAGCATATGAACATTGTTAAAAAAATAAGTGAAACACCAAAATTAACGTCTACTCTTTATAGTTATTCATAATTACAGTATATTTGGACAAATACTTTTGAGTGAGCTAGTTTAATTTTTCTATCTATAAAATGATTATTTCAGTCATAAAAATAGATAGAAATCATAAATGCATCGTGGTATGGGATGCTAGCAGTAAACTTAAGGCAGTGGCTACATTTTTCACTTATAATTTGTGACACCTGTGATGTGTTTTCTTTGTTTCATGATCTGTCTTTGAGGAAGCACTGACCAATATGAATTTTTGTGTTCTCACGTCTGTATTGATGAAAGCAGTCTTTAAATGCAGTTCTTGACGTTTTCATTTAATATATTGTGGTAGGATCCAGTATTGTAGAACATTCCCATTTTCAGTCTCCAGGACACCACTGTGGAAAGTTTAAGTAAGTCAGTATAAGTCACACTATCAGAGCAGTAGATGAGAATAAGAGCTTGACAGACCTCTGTAGAGTATACTGAGACTGGATAGTTTTGAGCCTTAGTACACTATTGATATTACTGGGGCATTCTTATAAAAATCATTTGCATAACATAATCCTTTATTTTTGCCCTTTAATGCTTACTGATTCACATAAGCAAACACTATCTATGGCTTCTGGGTTTACCAGCCATCGTAACAACATAATTTAAAACCCTGACCCAGCCAAGGACTCCAGTACCTGCTTGAAGTTGAGCACTTGGTAGTTCAGGGCCCCATTCCTCTGATAGACAGCCAGGCACTCTTAACTGGTATGTAAAGAACCTATAGAGCACTGAGTTATCAGAATTGCTTTGCGACTGCTTCTTGAGATAGATACCCTAGAGTAACCATACACTCTTTTGTTTTTTGTTTTTGTCTGAGTAAGAAAAGTGTCAGAACTTTCTAATTCTGGCCCAGGTTCTGAGCTGAGAATCTCAATGAGTTGAATAAAGCTATCCCACCGTACACCAGCTGAGGATTTGGTCCTCTGTATTTACTACTAGTAAATCGCGTCCCCATGCTATTTTGTTCCTCTTAACATATTGCTGCTTTCCTTTATTTCTAGTGATTTGAGACAGTCACAGTACACTTGTGTTTGTCTGTCTGAAATACCACTGTTCTAATTCTGTCATAGTAGTAGCTGTATATTTAAACAAAAGCCAAAATCAACTTTTTTTGAATATTTGCACAAAATATTTCTTAGACTTACACTTGCACTGTATTTGGTTTCTTGAAAGATGAAGGTTAACCTTACAGTATGATGGAATTAACTTATTTGAATTCTGTATTTTCTCTGTTGTCGGTTCCCTGTAACACCCAAGGTATGTAATAAGAAGGTCTTGCTTCGGATTGTAATGGCATTTTCTTATAGTAGCTTATTTAGATTTAATAAATGCAAAATGTCTATTTTTAGTCGATAAATTGAATAAAAAGTAAAGTTAATTGACACTCTTAAAAAGCCAGGCAGTGTTTTTAATTTGCAAATCTAAAAACCACAAATAAAAATGTTGCCTTTAAAGAAGGGGAAAGGGTGAGTGCTCCAGATGGAAGAAACAGCATGGGTTTGAGCATGTCAGGTGCGTTCTACCTGGGCTGCAGGCTAGGGGTTATTAATATGCTGTGACAGAAGAACACTGCCCATACTATTTTTGATAAATACCTGGCATAAGCAAGTCTGGTAATTACTCCTCTTCTCAATTAAGCTGTCGAATGCAGAAGTTAAACTGTCTTTGTAGCAAATGGAAGTTTCAATTTTCTGAAATATCCCAGGTGAAAATGAATGGCTCGCTTAGTTCCTTTTCTGGTCAGGGAATTACCATCAGAACACTGAGGCAGATTCTTCCAGGGCTGAGATATAACTCAAGGCAGAATATGACTCACTGTCTTTGATTTCCTTTCTCATAATTACTGGGGTCTCACTATCCAAATGGCTTTAGATATGTGCATTTATGATTCACATACTTGGATTTGTTATTGCAGTGTTATCTGTGGTAAAGGACGTTCCTAGAATGTGAGGTTACAGTGAGCCCAATTGTGCCCTCATCTAAGTGTAAGCATATTGCAGTAATTTAGGGTATGTCTACACTAGCTCCCTAGTTTGAACTAGGGTGGCTAATGTAGGGCTTCGAACTTGCAAATGAAGCCCGGGATTTAAATATCCTGGGCTCCATTTGCTTGTTCCCGGGTGGGCGCCATTTTTAAATCCCCTTAGTTTGAACTGACTGCCCGCGGCTACACACGGCAGTCAGAAGTTAATCTGAACTAAGTCCTTAGTTCGGATTAACTGTTACACCTCATTGCAGGAAGAGTAACAGTTAATCCGAACTGAGGACTTAGTTTGGATTAACTTCTGACTGCTGCGTGTAGCCACGGGCAGTCAGTTCGAACTAAGGGGATTTAAAAATGACACCCGCCCAGGAACATGCAAATGAAGCCCAGGATATTAAATCCCGGACTTCATTTGCAAGTTCGAATGCCTACATTAGCCACCCTAGTTCGAACTAGGGGGCTAGTGTAGACATACCCTTAGAGCATAATTACTTTTTTAGCATTTGGGAATTTTGCCTTTGTCTCCATCTGTAAATGATGGACACTATTCAATGCACACTATTTAGTTACTGTGCAGAAACTTAGAGCATAATTACTTCTTGAGAAATAATCTTGGTCTGTAAAGATCCTGCCCAACCCCTGATTCATATGACATTGCTGGCTTAGTTTTTAAATTAAGGGCTAGGGGAAAACTGACAGGTGCGGAAAATTACGTGGATTAGACAGACATTTGTTAGGGGAGAGTCTATTAATAGAGATTCACCAAGTTCTGGTAAGAAGGAGAGGATGGAAGATGATAAAATATGGGTAAGATCAGATGAGAAGCAATCAAATGAAAATGCCATTCAAACACATCAGGAAATGGCAGACAGCTAAATAGTGACAAACATTTAAAGTGCTTATACACAAACATTAGAAGTCTAAAAAATAAGATGGGTGAACTAGAGTGCCTTGTATTTAAGGAAGATATTGATATAATAGGCATCAGAGAAAGTTGATGGAATGAGGACAGTCAATGGGACACATATATACAAAGTCTATCGGAAGGACAGAATGGGTCATGCTGATGGGGGAGTGGCACTATACGTGAAAGAAAATGTAGAATCAAATGAAGTAAAAGTCTTAAATGAACCAAAATGTTCCATAGACTCTCTATGGATAGTAATTCCATGCTCCCATAATAAGAATATAGCAGTAGGGATATATTACCGATTACCTGACCAGGATAGTGATAGTGACTATGAAATGTTAAAGGATATTAGAGAGGCTACCAAAAAAAAAACACCTCAATTGTGGGGGGATTTCAACTATCCCTATATTGACTGGGTACACATCATCTCGAGACAGGATGCAGATAAAGTTTCTCAACAGCTTAAATGACTGCTTCTTGGAGCAGCTGGTTCTGGAAAACACAAGAGGAGAGGCAATTATTGATTTAGTCCTAAATGGAGCACAGGATCTGGTCCAAGAGGTAAATATAACTGGACCATTTGGAAATAGTGATCATAATGTAATAAAATATAATATCCCTGTGATGGGAAACACACGTCAGCAGCCTAATAGTGTGGCATTTAATTTCAAAAAGGGGAACTACACAAAAATGAGGAAGTTAGTTAAACAGAAATTAAAAGGTACAGTGACAAAAGTAAAATCCCTGCAATTTGCATTGAGACTTTTCAAAGACAACATAATAGAAGCCCAACTTTTTAATGTATACCCCAAATTAAAAAAACACAGTAAGAGAATCAAAAAAGTTCAACTGTGGCTTAACCAGGTAAAAGAAGCAGTGAAAGATTAAAAAGTAATAGTTTAAAAAGTGGAAGTTAAATCCCAGTGAGGAAAATAGAAAGGAACATAAACTCTGTCAAATTAAGTGTAAAAATAGTATAAGGGAAGCCAAAAAGGAGTTTGAAGATCAGCTAGACAAAACCTTAAAAAGTAATAGCAAAATGTTTTTTAGGTATATCAGAAGCAGGAAGCCTGCTAAACAACCAGTGGGGTCCCTGGATGATTGAGACGTCAGAAGAGCATTAAAAAATGATAAGGTCATTACGGAGAAACTAAATGGATTTTTTGTTTGGTCTTCACAGCTGAGGATGTTAGGGAGATTCCCAAACCTTAGGTGGCAAATCAGAGGAACTGTCCCAGATTAAGGTGTCATTAGAGGAGGTTTTGGAACAAATTGATAAACTTAACAGTAACAGGTCACTGGGACCAGATGGCATTCACCCAAGACTTCTTAAATAACTTTAATGTGAAATTGTGGCACTATTAACTAGTTTGTAGCCTATCCTTTAAATCAGCTTCTGTACTTAATGACTGGAAAACAGCTAATGTGATGCCACTATTTAAAAAGGGCTCTAGAGGTGATCCTGGCAATTACAGACTGGTAAGTCTAATGTCAGTACCAGGCAAATTAGTTGAAACTATAGTAAAGAATAGAATTGTTAGACACATAGACGAACATAATTTGTTGGGGAAAGTCAACATGGTTTCTGTAAAGGGAAATCATGCCTTACTAATCTACTGGAGTCAAAAAGCATGTGGCCAAGGGGGATACAGTGGATATAGAGTACTTAGATTTCCAGAAAGCTTTTGACAAGGTATGGCTAAGTAAAGTTAAGTAAAGTTAGTTGTCATGGGATAAGAGGGAAGGTCCTCTCATAGATCGATAACAGGTTAAAGGACAGGAAACAAAGGGTAGGAATAAATAGTTTTCAGATTGGAGAGAGGTAACTAGTGGTGTCCCCCAAGGGTCCATCCTGGGACCAATCCTATTTAACCTATTTATAAATAATCTAGAGAAAGGGGTAAACAGTGAGGTGTCAAAATTTGCAGATGATACTAACCTGCTCAAGATAGTTAAGAACAAAGCAGATGATGAAGAGCTTCAGAAAGATCTCACAAACCTAAGTGATTAGGCAACAAAATGGCAAATGAATTTTAATGTTGATAAATACAAAGTAATGCACATTGGAAAAATAATCCCAACTACACATGCAAAATGATGGAAACTAATTTAGCTATTACAACTCAAGAGAGAGATCTTGGAGTCCTTGTGGATAGTTCTCTGAAAACATCCACTCAATGTGTAGCAGCACTCAAAAAGGCAAACAGAATGTTAGGAATCATTAAAAAAGGGATAGAGAATAAGACAGGAAGTATTTTATTGCCTCTATATAAATCTATGCTATGCCCTCATCCCAAATACTATGTACAGGCATGGTTGCTTCATCTCAAAAAAGATATATTGGAAAAGGTTCAGAAAAAGGCAACACAAATGAGTAGGGGTTTGGAACGGGTGCCATACGAAGATAGATTAAAAAGACTGGGACTTCTCATCTTAGAAAAAAGGAGACTAAGAGGGGATATGATAGAGGACTATAAAATCATGACCAGTCTAGAGAAAGTGAATAAAGAAAAGTTATTTACTTGTTCCCATAACAGAAGAACTAGGGGTCACCAAATGAAATTAATAGGTGGCAGGTTTAAAACATACAAAAGGAAGTTTTTCTTCACGCAGCACACAGTCAGCCTGTGGAATACCTTGCCAGAGGAGGTTGTGAAAACCAGGACCAGGAAAGAACTAGATAAATTCATGGAGGTTAGGTCCATCAATACTTATTAGCCAAAATGGGTAGGAATGGTGTCCCTAGTCTTTGTCAGGGGTTGAAATAGATGACAGGAGAGGGATCACTTGATGATTACCTGTTTCTATTCACTCCCACTGTGGCATCTGGCACTGACCACTGTCGGCAGACAGGATACTGGCTAGATGGTCCTTTGGTCTGACCCAGTATGGCCGTTCTTATGATCAGGCTGTTTCTGTTTGTCAGGGACCTAGGGGAAAGTGCAGTTTTCTGCATTCTTCACTCTGGCTGTAGAGCTCAGGAGGCAGAGAAACCTGGACAGTTAGGGTATGTCTAGACTACATGGCTCTGTCGTCAGAGCCATGTAGATTAGTATACTAGACATACCCAAATGAAGCGGTGATTTACATAATTGCCACTTCATTTAAATTAAAATGGCTGCCATGCTGAGCCGATCAGGTGTTTGCCGGCTCAGCGCGCTAGTCTGGACACTCCGTGGTCGACATCAAAGGCATGTCGACCGCCCCCTTATGCCTCGTGGGATGAGGTTTACCGGGGCAGTCGACATGCCTTTGATGTTGACCACGGAGCATCCAGACCAGCGCACTGAGCCGACAAATAGCTGAGCGGCTCAGCACGGCAGCCATTTTAATTTAAATGAAGCGGCTATTATTTAAATCGCCGCTTCATTTGGGTATGTCTAGTAAAATAATGTACTATTATGGCTCTGTCATCAGAGCCATGTAGTCTAGACACACCCTTAGAGTTAGGAGCTGTGTGTGGGAGCTGAAACTTCCCTTTGTATGGGAACGTTGCTGGT